CATCACGTGATCGAAAAAATTTGGTGGCGATACTGGAAAGATCCAAAAATGGGACAAATCACATGTTTTGGTTTCTTGTTATTGGCTAATTTTAAAATTATTTTTTAAAATTATTTTTAAAATATTTTTTATTAATTAATTTTTGACCAATCAGTCAAAAAAATATCAAATTTCAATATGAAATTTTTGAAAATGTGACAAATCATGAGAATGTAGTCTTTAAGTGTCTTGCACTGTACTAAGAACAAAGTTTAGTTTATTTAATTTTTAAATCAACATTTTAACTTTCTTAATTTAAAGTATCTTTAAGTAATTTATTATACTTAATTGGTAAATAATTTAAAATAATAAATTTTTTATAGTAAATTAACTTTATACGGTTTCTACTAAATGCCTCTGCAAGTGATTTTCTCCTTCTGCCTTCATAATTTATCATAAAATATTAAATGCATAAGTTTCTTCATTAAACTTAACTGAAAACGCTTCACAGCAGTATCCAATCTTTTTCATTAAGTTTTAAACTTAGTTTTTATATCTTCTTAACCTAATATTATTTATTTTATTAATATTATAATTAATAAATTTGCTCTTCTGTTGACTAAGATAAAAATTATTCTATGGTGTTGAGGCTAAATTTTTATAAAGGTTAATCTCAAACAATTGAACTTTTTTTATTTTTTGATTCAACAACATTTGAGATTTTTGGTGTTCCAACTTGCTATCACCATAAACATTACTCTTATTTGGCTTTTTTGAATGTTTAATTTAAGCCAAAATTCGAAGTTACTTTATTTCGCACTTTGGAATTATAAATTTTAGTTGTACAGTTGGCTTTTCCTTGAATTTTTTATCTAAATTTTAAAAACTCACAGGAGAGTTAACTTAAATTACTCATGAATATAATTTAAAAAATTAAGTATAATTCCAGAGAAACAAAAATATAATCCCAGGCAAAATAATTCTAGGCAAGTAATATTAAGTATAATTTCGGGCATAATTAAATATAATCAGACAAAAAAATTCATTTCAAGTAAAAAATTTATATTTAAATTAGGCAAATTGATATTGTATAATTCCGGGCAAAAAAAAATAAATTAAAATATAAATTAAGGCAAATTATTTAATGTAACCATCAAAGGTGAT